CACACACACACACACTGAGCTTCTGCAACACACACACACACACACACTGAGCTTCTGCAACACACACACACTCTTGTGGCATTTTGATTGACGGCTGACATGGAGTTTCCTGTCAGTTCCTGATTCTGTCACAGAAGCAAAAATATCTCAGAAACCTTTTTGAACAATCGGAGCACTCTGTGCTCGGCTCTGAGCGGTTTGTCCTGAAACAGACTTCGTTTTAGTCTTTTTACCTTCCAGACATGATGCAAGGAAGAGCAGGTGGTTGTTCTGGTCCTTTAGAGGAAGACGGTGAATAAAAGTTGGCTGTAACTTAACGTTCACGTCATGAACCAGGAGAAAGCTTCTAGTTGTCATCGTGGACGTTGTGGTGAACAGATGACGTGTTTTCCAAACTACAGCAACTCGTGAAAAAGGCTGAAAATTCAAGGAAGACAATCGAAGAGCAGAAGTGGGAAGATGAGGTTTTGAGACCGGGGTGGCCCATCATGAGGTGCTGAAGACCTAAAGCTACACAAATGAAAGGTCCAGCAGTTCTTGGATCGTATTTCGCCCTTCATCTTTTATGGCTCAATTTTAAACAAAGAAGTTACAAATGATAGTGTTGTGGCTGTTTTCAGTAACTCTTCAAAAAAACATTAAACATGATTTCATGAAGGATTCCAAGATCTTGCACGATTCGTTGGCGCTCAGAATAAGTGCTTGTGAAGACTGTCAGCTACCACCACACCAGGTTTGAGCTCAGCCTCTGTTAAACTGACAGATTACCATTTTTATGATGACAAATGTAAATGGGCTGTGATGACCATCTTCAGGTGGGGTGGCTCCAAACGTGGACCAGTTGTGGACATATGTCCAATAATTTATTTCTGGGAGTTTCAATCAAATGTGACCACTGCTTCATTGGATACGTCACTAAAAGACAGTCAGGGTTCATCCCAACATTTATTGCTAGTAGCTCATAACAGACATGACAAAGTAGCTAATAACGTCTCCTGAGTCACATGTTAAAACTTGTACAAAGTGTGGTTTGATTGTGCGTTCAATGTAGACTTGAAAAATCATTTGGTGTGTCCAAAAAATCAAGGTAGAATTTTGTTATTTCAGAATTGAACAAGCTCAAAATAACAATCTAACAGTTTCTAGATCTCCTAAAATCTACGATTCAAGCTGTGCGGTTTCTAAAGTGACAGAAATGAGTGATGCTGCAGAAAGTATTTCAGGTATCGGAGGAGGTGAGTGAGTTTTGCTCAAAGTAAAAAATACTGAAATGTGTCTTTAAAGGTCAGTCAGCAAGGATAGTTGTTGGAACATGTCTAAACAAAGTACAACTGCTTTCATTCAGTCTTCTCATTATTTGTCTGTAGCAGCAGAAACATTTAATAAGACCAGATCGTGCTCATCTGCTCACACAGACTCATGTTCGTGCTGCTGTTGTTCAGCGTATTGTTTTTGTACTACTAGTGCTTTGTGTATTTTTAGTTTTACTGCATTTTTTAGTTCGTATCTGAGATCTTCTTACTGGTTTTCTTTATAATTTATACTTTTCTTGGGTGGAACAGGCACCCTGTGTACACCATTCCGTTCCACCACATGTGATGCAAATGACAATAAAGAAACCTTGACCTTGACTTTGACCTTGAATATTAGGTCCCTGCATATTCAGTGTGCTTTTTTCATAGTGTTCAGCTGAGATCAAAGTTTTAAAATGCAAACTTATAATTGCTTGTCTTGGTTTTAATCAACGCTATAGATAAAAACACACAAGGTTTTCAGGATCATTTTTGTCTCAATAACTCCTGACTCTGTGCGTCACGACCAACTGCTCAGGGCAGGACACACAAGTGCATTAGCTTCTCTTCTCTTTCCCTGCTGGGAACAATAGTAACATGCCCACATATATATATATATATGTATATATATATATATAATATATATATAACATACACAGTATGTATCTATAATATATATACATATTATATATATCTATAATATATAATATATATATTTTACATACACACATGCTTGAGTTTTTAGTCAGGTCTTTAAGACACCGTGGTTTGTGTTGTTTGCTGTAGTTCTTGCTGAATCTTGCTGCACGTTGGCTTTAACAATTTCCTTTAGTTATCTTTCCTTTCTTTTAATTTGGTTTTAATTTATTCTTGAAAGTATGTTGACCTACAGAAACAGAAAACAAGCATGTTATGCCCATCACTTAATCTTGTTAAAGAACTGTTTACCCCAACTGTCGTCGAGGAAAAGTGGCATAACAAGAATAAAAACTGAAGGACGAGCGGAGTTATGAGGAGCGTGCTGGTGTGACTGAGAGGAGCGGGATGTGACGATGACATGAATATATTTACCTTGGACAGACTGGAGGTTCTGCTAACACCTTGTAACTCATGTCCTTCGTCCCCTGACATGATGGCAGACACTGTACCTTGAGAGCGATGAAGAGAAATTGGTTTCACATACAAGTTGTTTATCCTAGTTGAGCTGAAAATTGTTTGTGGTTACATATTTTCACCTCTGCTTTGACTTGATATGACTTGATATGACTTGATATGTAGTTTAACAGCAGCTACAGGGTTATCACTTAATTCTTTAAATCCTGGTAATCATTAAATTTCTGGGCTCGTCATCATCTGTGTGAGAAATGACAATTTCTATCAATTTCAGTTCAGTTTATTTCTGAAGCTCCAAGTCTCAACAGAAGTCGTTTCAGGAACTGAACAGAAACATTCAAATATAAAATAATAATTAAACAGAAACATTCATGTATAAAATAATAATTGAACAGAAACATTCAT